CGAAATTGGAATTCGCGTTGCGAATTTGAGATCGCGTTGCGAATTTGTTGGTCATTTTGGTAAATCCACAAAAAAAGTTAGTTAAATTCATATATTATAAGACATTTTTTGTCACTGAGGTTATTTTCTCTTTAAAAAATTATAAAATAAATTTAGGAGTACAAAATTGAGTCAAATGGGTGCGAGAAAAGTGATCATGGAGATGGATGTCAAATGGGTAGTTGACTTCCTTAATGGTGACCTAACCGAGGATTACCAAGATAACGTGCTAATGAACGACTGCATGAAGCTCAGTAAAGAAGGTTGGGTCTGCAAAGTTAGACACACTTAGAGAGAAGGGGAAAAATGCACGAGCATGGCGTTTCAACAAGGGGATGAGCTCACCGTTTTAACTGAACCTCCGAATTCTTTAATCCCACTGTTAGCAGCTGACGCCGAGGGGATGGCGTGCTAAGGCTGTAAGGATGTGAATCCTCCTTTGTACCAAGAAAAAGAAGAACATATAACTATACTTCAACACCTATTCAGTCCATCTAAAGTTGTATATGAACAAGAAGTGATCTAGTTTTTGCATTTAATAACATTTAATTTATGAGTGTGAAATAAAATGAATATTATATATAAATCTTGCATGGTAATAAAAAAAATTATCCCATATTTGATGTGCTCGAAGGAATAACCCACTTTTAAACATATTTATAAAAAATATTAATTTTATTTAATAAAATATGGATCTAATTGAAAAAAGATAATATAAAGAAGGGTATTATTTCAATTATCCCTAAATATATAAGATAAAATTATATTTTTTTGTCAAGTTAAGTCGGGTCGGATATTTTTCACCTTAAACTCCAACCTAACATAACTCGAACTTCACCTCTAAAAAATCGACCCGACTACAACCCAATTTTTTTTTATAAAAAATCTGACCCAATTAAATCAAATTCAAATCTCGTATCTATCTCTAAATACAATATTGAATGGATCCCAAGGTTTCCAATTTATTTTCCCAAGTCATATTATATTATTTGTGGCCAACATTTACTTTTATCAGGTAGAAATATACCCAAGTTGATATTGAAAAAGGTAGATGGGTTTGTGGCATATAATAGATGTTCCATGTGCACATGGTTGACGTAGGATTTGTCGTCCCTCTCGTGAATGATTGGAACGAGACAGCTGAAATTTGATGAAAAGATTTTTGGACCCATTTTTCCTTTTAAGCCAGTCAATGATGTTGGCTTATGAAGTTATCTTAGGTTCATGTGGATTGGATAATTTGATTTTAAAGTAACAGTGATGTAGCAGTTAAAGGTGTTTACATAATAATTTATAATGTTGAAGTAGTTTATGTGGTGAATGATATAATAGACGGACTAAATTGATTTTTTGATCGAGTTCGAGGCTCAAATTGTTTTTTAAGTTCAAGAATTGAAGTGATTTTTAAAAAAAATAAAAAAATTATTTTAGATTTTAAATTTAAAATAGAAAAATATTCAAAATAATTTAGATTTTAATTTCTTAATTAATGTTAATCTGGTCTCTAATTGGAATTTGATAATAAATTTAGCCTTAACTATTAATTAATTCAGTTCAGTCCACAATTTGAAAGTAGTTAAAAAACTGGGCCTAAATCTCTTAATCAAATTAGAGACCAAATTAACATTAATTAACAAATTAAGGGGCTCAAATATTAATCTAATTATGAATTTGGGACCTAATTGAAAGAGATTCTGAATCTAAGGGTTGAAAAATAGTTAACTAAATTCAAATAAAGACCTCATTACAATTTCCTCATATACGAAAGGTCTAAAAATAAAATAAATATAAAACCATGCAAACAAGGACTAAGTTGCATGTGAGTATAAGGGACTAAACGACCTGGGCCTAAATCTCTTAATTAAATTTGCTAACCAAACATGATAGTCTTATAATCCTGCAAACAAACTAAACAAGCTAATGTAACATTCCTAGTAATATATATGTCAGGTAATGTTATATTTCGGGAATTCTATCCTCAAAAATAATCTTACGTTCCGTGAACCAAACACGATAATTGACTCTCAAACCCAACTATGATATTGGTGAACACAAAACGGCTTCAACAAAATACTGTCGTGTTAACAAATTTAACAACAAATGATGTGGTTAACAACAATTGTAATTAGAAAGACTAAATTGATCATAATTTTAAAATAAAGAATCAATTAATTTATAATTGAAAATAACAATTTCCTTCATTTTTAAGAACAATTAAAGGGTATTCAAGTCTAATAATAAAGCAGCAAATGTATACCATTTCTTTTTCCTCCTATTGGCTTATCATTGTAGTATACACATAATTCATTGTTTATCTCAAATTCTTTTTTTCCCCTCTAGACGAGGACTATGGGTGTAAATGAATATAGTGTTCGATGAACTATTCGTATAACGTTCGTTTATGTTTGTTCATTAAGCTAAATAAACGAGTATGAACAAAATAAGTTATGTTCATTTAATAAATGTACGAAAACAACAGAGGTATGTTCGGTTCATTTATGTTCACGAACAAGCTCGTTCATGAGCTCGTTTGTAAACTGATTTATCGACTCGTTCGTTTATGTTCATGAACAAGATCGTTTACCATGTTCTCCTTTTCCTTTTATTTTTTTTATATTTTAAATATTGGTAAAGGTAGAGACTAAATTGAACACATGACAAAAGTTGAAATTTAAATTATGATTTTAAGGAGTTTAAGAACTAGTAGGTAATTTTATCATTTTTCATTAGCTTGCAAATGAAAGGGTAAAATTAAAAATTGAATATGTAAACTAACGATAAACGAACGATAAATGAACAATAAACGAATATGTTCATGAACTCTAAAAAAACACGTTCGTGAACATATAAATGAACATGTTTACGACCATTAAACGAACATGTTCGTAAAAAATAAATAAACAAATACAAACACCATAAATAAACAATACGAACACGATATTAAAAATTTAAACAAACACGAACTGAACATAAACATCTTAAAAATAAACAAACAAATAAATACGAATATAATCTTGTTCGTTCAAGTTCAGTTAGTTTACACTTTTAATGAGAATATGTACGAAAATATCCAATGATTTCTTAAGCAATGATTTTTCACCGTGAAAACTTTTTATTTTTAATTAGCTTTCTTCCAATTTATTTATTTGGGGTTATAAACTTTTGATGGATAAAATCTTGGCTACTTATAAGGGTAAATTACGTATTTAGTCATCCAACTATCATTTTAGTTTCGTTTTAGTCATCTGATTATTCTTTTTAAAATCATCACTAATGTTATGTATTGATTTTATCTTGGTCACCCGCAGTTAAAAAATTAACGATAATACTGACGTATTGCCATAAAATAATGCCACTTCATAATTGGAAAAAATAAAAAATATCACTTCAACAATTCTATTAATTTTTTTATCAACGGGTGACCAAAATAAAACCAAAACATAATATTAATGATGATTTTTAAAAAATAATTAGATAACTAAAATAAAACCGAAGTTATAGTTGGGCTACTAAATAAGTAGTTTACTCTAATTTTTTATGCACTCATCCAAAGTGGCCATCTAAATAATTCGCAATAACTTTATAAAGAAGATACAAGGCAAAGAGGTTTGAATTTCCCACGAAATGGGCATGGGTTTACTCAAGCTACCCTCACACGCTTTTTTCGGGTCAAACCAGCCACGTCACCTTTTCTAAAGCCCCACATTTCTGAACTGGCAATCAAATTCAGTGGAATGTTATTACCCGCTATGCCCGATCTCATCTTAAATAAAATGATAAATTACGTATTTAGTATCTAAATTATAAGTTTTGATCTGTTTTAGTATATAAACTTTTATTTTTATCAAAATTATACCTAACGTCTAGTTTTTGTTACATTTTAGTACTCATCTTTAAAAACTTAACAGACGGGTTGATGTGGCATAGCTTTGGTGGACGAACGACCAATCCGAATGATGGATCACGAGAGAATGACGAGTTGACTAACATAGTCTAGTTTTAAGCCCATCGAACGGTATACCATGGAGATCGGAGGATGAAGAAATCGAAGAATCTATCGTCGATTTGGGAATATTGAGGCATTTTTCGGTGAAATGGAGGCCGAAATCGTATTAAGAGGTTAAAGAGATATAGGCTGGAAAGTTTGGATTTCATCAGCCGACGAATGCGATGGTCGACGACTGTAGAGGCGGCGACTGGTGAGCTTGTCCTTAAATTTTTAACACAAAAACTAAACGTTAAATATGGTTTTGAAAAAAAAATAGATACTAAAACCAATAAATACTAATAGATTATATCCTAAATGCATGGTTTAACCTAAATAAAATAGTCCCACCTATCCCCATTGTCCACAACTACAAAAAGTTAAAAGACCCTTGCATTTACCAAACCTATAGGAGCTTCTTCTTCTGCTCTTGATTGCCGAGAATAGAACTCCTTATTAATTTTACTTACTTTCGTCCGCTTAAACTATATTATTTGAATACGTGTAGGACTGTTCAATATAAAACCCAAAAAGAACTCTTTCTCTTATGGAATCTTTCTCTTTTTAGTTTTTAAATCCCACCCAAAAGTTGATTCTTGGATGTAAACTGATTGGAGAGAGTAAAAAGCAAATTGTGGGATTTCGATTCCTTTTTGGCAGAATATCTGAAAATCTGGGTGGTGATTTCTTTTACTTTGGGTGGCTTTTTTTTAAGGTCCTTCGATGATTTTTGTTCTTTCAAGTTTCCATTGAATCTTCTTCTTTATGTTCGAATCCCAAGGAACGAATTTTGTTTTGTTCTTTTGGCTTTCCTTAAAAAAAGGAAGCTTTATCTTCAAACTTTTCCCCTTTTATAGGACTTCAAATGATTTGTTTTGAGATTTCTTTGAATTCTGTTAGGAGCTGATTGAGAACAAAGAATGTAAATGGAAATGCGAAAAGAAATGGGAATAGTTTCTGTTTTATGGGTTTTTTTAGAGTAATTTGAGATATCTGTTTTTAGCAGAAAAGGCTTTGTTTCTTTTCTCTTTTTCGGATATTTTGTTTGATTTGATGGGACCAGTTATCTCTTAATTATCTTTAATTCTTTTGGAATATGTCTAAATTCATTGTATTGACAGTAAATATTGTCGAAGTTTATATTCTCTTTGTTGCCTTTCTGTTCTTCAATCATAAAAATGGAAATGTGAGAGGAAGCCAATGAAAATATATAAAAAAGTTTAAGGTGTTGTTCTTGCTGCAATCTAATTGCTTCTGATAATTGTGATTTGGATGCAGTTTGTTAAGTATGTGATTTGTTTTAAATGCAGAAAGTCCAGACTGAATTGCCTATTTATTGATTTGGATATCTCTGGGGATTGCATATTAGATATATTTGTGTTTCAAAACTGAAACTTCTTTTGGTACAAGAAAGATTGGAAGAACAGCTCGCTTTAGTTGCTCATATATATGGCTCTGGCCTTTAGTAATCTTTCATGGTGGTTATGGAGTGGGAAACATGAAGAGCCTAAAATCTCCAATGGATCTCCTTTAAGTTCTTTGCCGGATTCCGGTTTATGGGAATCAGACAATCTGAAGTTTCCATTGGTTAATAGAGATAACACAGCTTATTCATCGAGAAAAGTTAAGAGGAAATGGCATAGCCGGGAAGAAAGAAAGATTGATAGGGAATATGATGTTGTTATTGTGCCATCTGATGGAGGATGTGTTTCAGGGTCTGAATCTGATGGTTCAGATTACTCCATTGGATGGTTGGAGCCTCATGGACCTGATTTCGGTAGTGATGAAGATTCAGACAACAGTTTTGCTGTGTTGGTTCCATGTTATGGGCATAGGCAAGGTAATATGATGGAGGATCCAAAGACCAACCTTGTGGGTGCCATTGTGAACATTTCTAGCTATTATTCTGATGGTAATTTCCATTTCTTACACACATCTAATATTGAGAATATTTTGTAACTTTCAGTTATGTCTTGTTTGTTGCTTGGCAAGTCAATGACTACTATTTTTTATTCTGGGGTTTAGATCCTTTGCTATCATATTCATTCGAAATAACTTGGAGATGAATTAGTGAAACTCTGTGTAAGATCATTTCTCATTTACCATTTGCTAACACTGGTTTTGGCTCGTGCATTTGTGAACTCAAAGCATCTATCAACACTATGAACCCAGATGAAACTTCTTTAGTTTTTGACTTTTATGCTGTTGAATGGCTTAAATTGTTCAAGGGCTCGACAGGACGTTTAAGGTTGCATTAGGAATATGGTAGGGGCAGACTAGTTTTGTACGTTTAACGCTTTAATAGCTTCTGCTAAAATAGTTATTTGAAAACACTCCTTGTTATTCTGCATTGATCTTTGAAATGTATCATTTGAATTCTGATGAAGATGAGCCTCCAGACTTTAATGAAAAAATCTAATGGCGTTTAGTCTAGCTTGTATTTAAATGTTATTCAGAACATAAGTGATTTTTATCGACAATTACTCCCATAACTTCATGTTTCTTGCATACTCTGCTAAATGGTTTCTGACTACATTTGGCGATGCGAGTTTTCATCCTATGTATGCTTAGCTTAGCATACATTGGAGAATTTTGTACACACTGCTGCCGTTCAGCTATTATCCTTAATCTCGTTCGTTTACCGACTACTGCTCTTCGTTCAACCCCTTTAACCAGATTCTCATACTTGCTCAATCTCTTTTGCATAATTCCTCTATCATCTATTGGGTGTCTTGTGGTGCTATCTTAACTGCTTTTGTATCTTACAAGTTTTATCATTCTTGTGCTGCCATGTGAACTGCTGTACATCTTAAGATTAAATTGCTGAAAATTAGGCCAGGCCCTCGTATTTCGTATTTCTATAAGCTTTGTAGAATTTGCCGAGGCAAATGCATTATTCTAACTCGGTCATTGTCTTATTTTCTTAAATGTGAAGCAAGCAAAGTTTACGTGGAACAGTGGCTCTCGTCTCTACAGACTAGCTAATCCCATACTGACGAAGATTGTGAATGTATCTGTGTTCTGTTGCTAATCTGCTGGAAGAATATGGTCTGGTGTTTTAATGCTGATATAGATATTGTATATACTGTATATACCATAAAATTAAAAGGAAAAAAAAAAAACTGAGCGAATGCAAGGAGATCGCCTGCTTTATTATTTCTGATACAAGAGAAACACGATAAGCAGCTGAAATAGATGTTCAGCAACGCGAGATGTGTATATCAGACTGGACGTGTCCTTTTCTGCTGTTTCGTTTAGGAGCTGAAGACGAACGAGCCGACTTTTTGTTTTCCTTGCTGTTGGTCGAAGAAGATTGATGTTCATTTGTTGGTGTCTAATGTGTTTGTGAATTGTTTAGGGAACTTCTCTCTGAAGATAAAACAGGGAAAGTCTGTGTGCGTGTGTATTGAATTTTTTTGGCTGTAAATAAGGCTCTTGTACATACTAAAAACAGATACAGATTTATGCTTTTGTCGTGTTAATGCAAATATTATGTGAATAAAATCAAGAATTTTGTAGTGTATAGCTGTCGATAGATAACTCATTGGTATATTTAGAACTATAAACGAACCGAGTCGAGTTCAAATTTTGTTGAACCATGTTTCTATATGACAAAAATTGTCCCTTCCAAAACATAGAAGACAACAGCATCGGTATGAACGGCTGTATACCTTGACCCCTGAACTTCCAAGGTCTAAACCCTTCTCTCTAACATACACTCTTGAGCCATGACCATGACTCTGTCATCAAATATATTGTCATAAATGGTTATATTTAAAATTGTAACACCCTAATAAATAGAGGTGTGAATTTAGTAAACTGTTTGTATAACATTTATTTATGTTCGTTTGTCAAGTTAAATAAATAAGCATGAAAAAAAAAATTATGTTCATTTAATGAATGAACATAAGTAGATGCGTGTTCGGTTCGTCTATGTTAACAAACATACTTGTTTATGAGCTCGTTTATCCACTCGTTCATTTATGTTCATAAACAAGCTCGTTTATCCGATTCTCCTTTTTCTTTTTACATTTTAAATATTGGTGAAGGTGAAGACTAAATTGAACACATGATAAAAGTTGAAATTTAAACTGTGCATTTTAAGGAGTTTAAGCACTAGTGGTGTAATTTTATTATTTTTCTTTAGCCTTTCTTTAGTTTGCAAATGAAGGAGCACAACTAAAAACTAAACATATAAACGAACGATAAACAAACACTAAACAAACGTTAAATGAACACTAAATTAAGACTAAACAAAAGGTAAACGAACATGTTCGTGAATGCTAAATGAACACATTTGTGAACATATAAGTGAGCACATTCACGAACATTAAACGAACATGTACGTAAACAATAAATAAACGAACACGAACACCTTAAAAAATAAACAAACGAACGCGAACATTACCTTGTTCGCTCAAGCTTGATTCATTTACACCCCTAACCCTATACCCATATGGACCTAAAGTATCACATTAGACTGTCGGGGCAACTACTAAAAATTTAAAACCTTTTTCATTGTCATTTACAAACATGACATGTTTATCAAAATAGACATTCATAATAGTTACAAAATACTTTTATAAATCAGAGCTCTGTGACACATACTTTAAATCAAAATAATACAACCTCAGAGTTTACAAACTCACATATGTACACTAGTAGAAAAACCCCCTTAATGACGCGCATTGCGTGTCACCTATGGGTGCGGATGACACACATTTGCCTGTCGTTGAAGCCACCAACATGAATTTAAGATGACGCGCAACTGTGCGTCATAAATTTATGACACACATTTATGACGCGCATTTATGACGTTCATTGAGCGTCATTGAAGCCCCGTCATAAATTAAGATGACACACATTTGTGTGTCATAAATATATGACACACATGTATGACTTACATTGCGTGTCATTGAAGCACACATCATTAAAAAAGATGACACACATTCGTGTGTCGTGATTGTATTTCGTAAATATATATATATATATATATATATATATATATATATTGTAGATTGACAAATAATTAAACTAAATCACATTTAATGCCTCATAATACTAAATATATCATATTATATATAAGCAATCCATTTGCATACAATATATTCACATTAAGTTATCAAAAATATTGTAATCATATGTCGATACAAAATATCACGGCATAATAAAGTTCTACTAATATGCCCTCGCCATCCGGGCGTGTACACAAGAAATAATTTAAAATAATTTAAAATAATTTTAACAGTTAAAACTAGTTACAATATATAGAAAAAACACATTCCTAATATGCACATTAAACTTCTGAAAACACCTTCCTTGGTCCAGTATATTTATGCACAAACATGCATTCATGTTTCAACAAACCAAGTGACAGCTTACTTTTTGAAACTCTATCAGATTTTTCAGCAACTTTGTATTCTCAATTCCAATGGAGTTAAGGCTTCCTGATTCTAGTTGTGTTTCATCAACCATCAAGTTTGAGTTCGCAGGTAGTTGAAGAACTCCAGGAATCAATCTGCAATACAACGTGAAGTTATTTAGAAAAGAAAAAGCTGAAGGTTCCAAGCTGCTTTCTTAATGCTTGCAGACATTAACTTCCCCTAGTTGCAGGGATACGATTAAGGATACCTGTTTGTTTGATAATCCTTTTTTGGGGCAAGAGAGACAGTGTTTAGATATTCCAGTGGAGAATCATTGTAACACCCTCAACCCGTATCCGACCCGAATACGGGTCTGAGGTGTCACATTGACTTTTCAAACTTTGGCTCTTGACAAAATTCAAAGAAAATTCAAAACTTTCATTAAAATAAAAGTTGTTTATTTACATAAATTGACCAAAATAACCAAAAATCGATTAGAGCCTATACAACTCACTCAATTAGTGCATTCCAACTATATTCAGATTAACCAAACACATTTAAATCATCTATTTTCTGATCTGAAACTTTGTAAGGAAAATGCTGACCTGTCTTGATCCTCTTAGCTCTTTACTCTTCTCACTTCTGTAACCTACGTGTGAAACAATCACACGCTAAGTTGTTGACTTAGTGAGCCATAAAACATATAATAAAACTCTAACTCGTAATCATGCTTGAACAATTTCTACTAATATATCACATACAAGCATCACACCCACATATACATATAATTATCTTCTTTCCTATCATTATCATATTATCACCTTTCATATTTCTATTCTCTTGTTTATATGATCAATTAAGCTCATATCATATATCTTATAGCATATACAATAATCACTAACACACATATATCATATCATATAATTCATATCACAAAACACATATATACATCACATACATTACATTCAATGTTATCTCTTATTAGCCCATGTGCACCTGTGAGAACTGTAGATATGTGAGTCTATTAAGGTTGTGCACTATGCTGTCACCACAGCTCGTATGGGGTCCCACTAGGGGCTATGAGATTTGTCCCAAAGGACCACTATGAAATATCCCGAAGGATTACTGTATGTCTCGAAGGACTGCGTAGACCCTCGACTCTTGGCATGCCAAATATACCTATAGCTCTCGTATCATATAACATGGGCATTATATTCATATCAATTCACATATTCACATGTACATTTCACTTTTCATATGATTTCATAATCATCTGTCACGTAGCTTATAACACTTCTCTTGTGTTCATATGGCATGTAACTCATTGTCATCTCTTATTCTCATATAATTCTCATACATCAAGTATATCACATAACATGTATTATTCAAGTATATTCACATGTCACATGGCTATGTCTTCTCATGTATTTACTTTTATCTTATTCTCCTATGATTACATATTTTATCTCACAACCATATGTTCACATAGCACATACAAAACATATGCATTCATAAAATCAAACATACATATATTTCATGTCATTTATCTACCTATAATAAAGACTTCATACACTTTAACTATCGGAGATAGACTTATCACAAGTCCAATTTCCATATCATTCTATAAAATAAGATGCACTCACCTTGGACTCACTAAGTTCGATCCACTTTTATGATTTCTTTTCTTTCGATCGAATCTTAACTTGATAATCGTTCTGGAACTTGTTCATGTTCGATATCTACATAATCATACATTGATACATATCATTATCTAATTGATATATTCTAAACTATCACTCCAAAGGATAAAAAGAAAGCTATTTTCAACTTTTAATAGAGGCATGCATCGATGCACTACCCCATGTATCGATGCATCCCTAGACGGGTGCATCGATGCACTATCTATGCATCGGTGCATAAATCCCATTCGATGTTTCCATTTTAATGGGTGCATCGATGCACTTCCTGTGCATCGATACACACTGAACAATTTCTAGAGATTTACCCTTGATGCATCGGTGCACCTTGAATGTGCATCGATGCACATAGCTCAAAATTCAATTTAATCCCGAAAATCTACTCAAATCAACTCAAATGCTTTATCTTTCATCCCCTATCATGTTCTCAACTCACATACACATATTCAAACTCATTTCTATTCATTAATCACCTCTTTAACATCAAAATCCTATTCTCCATATGTAATTAAAGAATTACACTAAATTTTCAACATGTTCCAAAATCAATTCTATTGCTTCTAACTTCTTAATTAAACCATTGACAAGTCAAATTCATCATTGGAACTTCAAAAACCTTTTTATAATAAAAGTTCATTTATAAACCCTTCATAAAAATTCCTTTCTAATCCTCTCTCTTTGGTGTTTTAAACTTATATAAGCTTTCCTTAAGCTTATATAACCCCCAAAGACTCAAATCCAACTTAAAACTTTCAAGAAATCAACAGCTAAATCAAATTTACCTTTTCTCTTGGCTTCCACGTGAAGAAGAAGAATAAAGGAGAAGAGAACTTTGGAGAATTCTCTCCCTTTCTACGTGTATATATCCTTACCAATCCCATTTTTAATTCATTTCTTGGTCAATTGACCCTTTTGCCCTTTATCTCCTTTAATAATTACTAAATAACTTTCATCATATATATCCAATAATCATTGAACTATTTCATTCTTCTACTTTAGTCACCAAATTCTGAAACTTTACAATTTGGTCACTAATCCGGTATTACGGATGTTACAAATCTCCCCTCATTTTTAAGAAAATTCGTCCTCGAATTTTCACTAGACATCTTGATAGAAACATATCTTCTAAAGTTCTTATATTGCTTCATTTAATTAATCTTTCTTTAAATATGATTCAACATACACTTTTAAAGAATCTATTCACATCACCTTGCACACTTTTCTTACTTCTATATCAAAATTATCATCTACATTCCATATAACCTTTATCGTATCTGATCCTTTAACTCAATCCCTTTTATTTCTTTATTCCATTATTTATTTATTTATTCCTTATACAAAAATCATATCTTTCCTTTTATGTTCAAATACTCTTGTTTTATCACCTATACTCATCTTTGTGTAACAATCTTCATTGTATCCTCATAACTTTGATATCCCTATTTCTTATACAGAACTTTATTCTTTATCATCTCTTGTATTTGTATTTTCTTCTTTAAAGCCACTTTTTAAAACATACCAATGCTTATCTCTTTGCCTACATCATATCTATATGATTAAAATGCATAACCACATCCAGATTCATATCATATTTGATTAACTCAACTTTATCTTTTCCTCCAATCTTATAACTCTAGCACCTTTACTCTGACAACTAGATAATAACTTCTGTTCAATCTAGGGCACAAGCCCTATTCTACCAATCATATACATCCTTTCCAATCGAAATTATCTCAAAATTTGCTTACTCAACTTATCAATTTCACCTCTATTCTCATACATCCTGAAATTTCTGTTGCTCAAACTCAACATTCTGACTTCCTTTGTCTTATAATCTGATCATCGATATACACATTCTCAAACTCTTCTTATCAATCCTCAGCTTTACTCAAATATACAAATCCTTATTTCCTTTATTATACCACATTATCACGTTCCAAATATATAACTGTATCCAAATCCATTTCATATTTGGTTATCATATCCTGACAATATCTTATAATCTTATAATTCAGTACATTTTTATCACGTACTCTGGTTAGCCAACGCTAACCTTTTCGTCTTAACTGCAAACCCTTATCATGTAAACACTCTTGCTTATACACAATGCTAACCCTTCGTTTCGAACTCATAAGCTCTGACTTTATACATTTTATACGTTTGTCACTGCTACACTTATTCTTGAACTCTTCTACCAATTCTCACTGCATCATTTGATCTTTTAACGCTCTTATGGTGACACTTGTTCACCATATTCTATCTTATCCATGAAATAATAAAACTACTCCATATCACTTTTCCGATTCAAAAATGTGAAAAACTTTCTATCATTATTCAGATATGATTTCAACTTTCTGAAATCAACATTTAATCTTATAAGACACTTTCTGAGGTTTCTGCTCTTCATCCTGCCTGGCCAGGGTAGGTGAATTGCTATCACCATCAGATTTTTCAACTATCGATTCTCTTCGATAATTTCTATAATAAATTTCTACTATATCCTACAAATCTTATTCTATTAGCAAGACAACATGCTCCTTACACTATCAGATCAGAAATTTTCACTTTTAGTTGGCATGTACACATTTTTAAACCTCATTTGACTTCGGTTTAAGCATAGAATCGGCTAAACCTTAGCTCTGATACCATTAAATAACACCCTCAACCCGTATCCGACCCGAATACGAGTATGAGGTGTCACATTGACTTTTCAAACTTTGACTCTTGACAAAATTCAAAGAAAATTCAAAACTTCATTAAAATAAAAGTTGTTTATTTACATAAATTGACCAAAATAACCAAAAATCGATCAGAGCCTATACAACTCACTCAATTAGTGCATTCCAACTATATTCAGATTAACCAAACACATTTAAATCATCTATTTTCTGATCTGAAACTTTGTAAGGAAAATGCTGACTTGTCTTGATCCTCTTAGCTCTTTACTCTTCTCACTTCTGTAACCTACGTGTGAAACAATCACACGCTAAGTCGTTGACTTAGTGAGCCATAAAACATATAATAAAACTCTAACTCATAATCATGCTTGAACAATTTCTACTAACATATCACATACAAGCATCACACCCACATATACATATAATTATCTTCTTTCCTATCATTATCATATTATCACCTTTCATATTTCTATTCTCTTGTTTATATGATCAATTAAGCTTATATCATATATCTTATAACATATACAATAATCACTACCACACATATATCATATCATATAATTCATATCACAAAACACATATATACATCACATACATTACATTCAATGTTATCTCTTATTAGCCCATATGCACCTGTGAGAACTGTAGATATGTGAGTCTATTGAGGTTGTGCACTATGCTGTCACCACAGCTCATATGGGGTCCCACTAGGGGCTATGAGATTTGTCCCGAAGGACCACTATGAAATATCCCGAAAGATTACTGTATGTCCCAAAGGACCGCGTAGACCCTCGACTCTTGGCATGCCAACTATACCTATAGCTCTCGTATCATATAACATGAGCATTATATTCATATCACTTCACATATTCACATGTACATTTCACTTTTCATATGATTTCATAATCATCTGTCACGTAGCTTATAACACTTCTCTTGTGTTCATATGGCATGTAACTCATTGTCATCTCTTATTCTCATATGATTCTCATACATCAAGTATATCACATAACATGTATTATTTAAGTCTATTCACATGTCACATGGCTATGTCTTCTCATGTATTTACTTTTATCTTATTCTCCTATGATTACCTATTTTATCTCACAACCATATGTTCACATAGCACATACAAAACATATACATTCATAAAATCAAACATACATATATTTCATGTCATTTATCTACCTATAATCAAGACTTAATGCACTTTAACTATCGGAGATAGACTTATCACAAGTCCAATTTCCATATCATTCTATAAAATAAGATGCACTCACCTTGGCCTCACTAAATTCGATCCACTTTTATGATTTCTTTTCTTTCGATCGAATCTTAACTTGATAATCGTTCCAGAACTTGTTCATGTTCGATATCTACATAATCATACTTTGATACATATCAGTATCCAATTGATATATTCTAAACTATCACTCCAAAGGATAAAAAGAAAGCTATTTTCAACTTTTAATAGAGGCATGCATCGATGCACTACCCCATGTATCGATGCATCCCTAGACGGGCGCATCGATGCACTATCTATGCATCGGTGCATAAATCCCATTCGATGTTTCCATTTTAATGGGTGCATCGATGCACTTCCTGTGCATCGATACACACTGAACAATTTCTAGAGATTTACCCTTGATGCATCGGTGCACCTTGAATGTGCATCGATGCACATAGCTCAGAATTCAATTTAATCCCGAAAATCTACTCAAATCAACTCAAATGCTTCATCCTTCATCCCCTATCATGTTCTCAACTCACATACACATATTCAAACTCATTTCTATTTATTAATCACCTCTTTAACATCAAAATCCTATTCTCCATATGTAATTAAAGAATTACACTAAATTTTCAACATGTTCCAAAATCAATTCTATTGCTTCTAACTTCTTAATTAAACCCTTGACAAGTCAAATTCATCCTTGGAACTTCAAAAACCTTTTTATAATAAAAGTTCATTTATAAACCCTTCATAGAATTTCCTTTCTAATCCTCTCTCTTTGGTGTTTTAAACTTATATAAGCTTTCCCTAAGCTTATATAACCCCCAAAGACTCAAATCCAACTTAAAACTTTCAAGAAATCAATAGTTAAATCAAACTTACCTTTGCTCTTAGCTTTCACGTGAAGAAGAAGAAGAAAGGAGAAGAGAACTCTAGAGAATTCTCTCCCTTTCCACGTGTATTTATCCTTACCAATTCCATTTTTAATTCATTTCTTGGTCAATTGACCCTTTTACCCTTTATTTCCTTTAATAATTACTAAATAACCTTCACCATATATATTCAATAATCATTGAACTATTTCATTCTTCTACTTTAGTCACCAAATTCTGAAACTTTACAATTTGGTCACTAATCCGGTATTGCGGATGTTACAATCATATATATGCAATAAAAAATTGGAAAATAATCAGCCTTGGTTGAAAATATAAGATCTGATACAAATACACCATGTATATGCAAGAATAATCACCTAGAAATAAGACACACAGATCTAGTAAATGTCTTTATAAAAATAAGCAGCAGATTCTCAAATCATTCAAAAGAATTGCAAATTTTTCATATACAAATATAAGAATTGATCTCAGGTCCCACATCCATCCAATTTCTTAGTACTAATGTGGTTTTACAAATAAATCCAAATAAAACTGCTACATGAAGCATAAATTTTCACTTCTAGAATGTCCTACAAAAAGAAATGAGCAAACTAGTTGACTAAAAACACATTGACCAACCGATGACCTGCACAATCAGACATGGTTATATTCTTCATAACTAAGCACAACTAAATTAAAATTGCTTCTTTATACAGTGAGATTCACATATGGCAAATAAAGTAAAAGAAAATCTAGACTTCAATCACTTCACTGCATAGCCTATCTTCAAAAGACCAACACTAATTGTCACTATAAAGAACAAAATTAACTGTAGCAAACTCATAATAACATTTGTTTCATCATTTTACTTTAGGTAAAAATAAAGGAAGACGTAAGTGTTAACAATCATAATTTGAGCCAGTTAAACAAAAGTAGATAAGAAAAGTAATAAACTGCTGCTTCGACAGGAAACTTGTTTATTCATCACCCAGATAAATTTCATAAATTTATATGACCATATTCATGAAAATTTTAAGGTCATCCCTCCATACTCCAGACAAACTCACTTAACACATGATAAGCAAACCAAAGTTCTTACAATGACTAAGAATACTAGATTTTCAAGTGAACAATCCTATTCTAGTTTTGAAAGCATAAGCTAATATCACATAGGATAAAATTGAGGAACATTGACCAGAATGTCAAACTAGTCAACTTAATATTCTTTTTTATCTCATTAGCTACCTATTGCAATAATTACATCTCACACTTTATACACATTAACATGTAGCTCAAGCACAGACAACTGTGTATGAAAATACCATGCACATACCATTGTCATTAGCTATTACCAGTTAAACAAACTATGAATATCATATGAAACTAAAAGAAATTGTGACAAACACAATCTCATGATAGAAATTTGTAACTTCAAACGAATAACACCAACACATACCAGAAGGAATTTTGATGATTTCTTCATAACAGCTAATGTACTGCCAAGACAACCTGATCACTGTCAAGAGCAAATGTAATTGTATCTTAGCCCAGAAAGCATTTTAAGAGAAAAAAACAAAGTTGAAGTGCCAAGTAGAAAATTTCTGAGCACATCCAAATATGTTTTAGAATGGATGTTTCAACAGTATGTAAAATGTTCTGAGTTGGAATACATTAATTATAGACCTGAGCCAAAACCCATCCAACTAACAAATCGATATCACTTCTGTGATTGGATAAGACAAGGGCATGTTCCTTACCTGAAAAAATCAATAATATCAGATGGCAAGTAAATGATTCAAAAGATTTAGAATAAAACAATAACCATTATCCATGTAACTCTAAGCCCAAGACCTAAGTTTCTTAGTAGAGGAAATTGACGTCACCCATAAAACTGAAGCTTTCATGGTCTGAAAAACTTTAATATGCAAATAAAATGTATCAAAGATCTAAAGTTAATTTTCAGGAGACAGTTAAAGAAATGGCATTCATGGTACCGGTTTTTTTTCCACATTAAATCCTAGTTGGCTCAATAAAAGTCAATAATTAACAACTTATTCACATAACACCTATCAACCCTTAGGGAAGATAGGAAACTTCACAACAACTGTTCAAATCATTATTTGCCTAAAATCTAGATTAATTGACAATGCACCAATGTTTATGCCTGTGGACATCAAAAATATGAGTTGGGCAAACATTCTTCACCTAAGTATAACTTACCTTACAAAGTTTGCAATACTCAGAATCCCAAATGATGCAGAGAGAATCTTTAACTCGATTTTGCATCTTGGTACTTAGCATGCAAAGATTATTTTGGAGACCTACTTTTTGAAGTCTAGATGGAAATGGAAATATAAAACAATTTAAGCATTTGGTCATCATAAAATGTTGTCTCAGATTTCAGGATTAAAATAATACAATGCCAGAAAAGATTTCAGAATTAAACTATGCTATCTTCAAAAATGCTCAAAAGGAGTAATATCTTCAAACAAGATTTCAGAATTAAACAATGAAATAAAAGAGTTGGTTAACACCTTAACACCCGCCCTCCAATCAACAAGCCAAACGAGTTCTAGCCATAATAACTCTGCCGCCACACGGTTGATCTTTCTATACGTCTTATTGGACAATGGTCGGATGAGAACAAAGCATACAGTCTAAAAAAAGCTTCATATTGTATAAGATTGAAAAAGGTCATTGAACAAGAGAGTAAAAATGAAATTTACTCACCAGCCAATGAAACAAACTGAACCAACTTATCTGACCTAATAAATTTTGATCGCTACAAAAACATAGGCAACAAAAATGGACTTTAAAAATCCCATTTTTAGCATCAAATAAAATCGAAAGCTTGTAAAAGCTGAAATCAAATATCCCAATTAAATTTTCTTTTTCTTTTCCTAAATTTTTTAGCTCATAAGTAAAGTAGAATTCAAAACCCATATTTGTATATACAAGCTCATTAATAATTCAGCTCAAAAGGAAAACCCATTTATCAACATTTTCCTTTTAATCCAACCACATCATAATTGAAAACAAAACAGGAAAAAACGCAGGAAGCAACATTCAACAAAAAAAAATAGAGAGCGAAAATTACCAAAGAAAAGGGGATACAAATACAGTTTATTTTAAAACAAATAGGGCAACAGTTATTTTCCCCTTCTTCAACGCTTCAAAATGAGATAATACCTGAAGGATCCAAGAGTTAAGCTTGACTTCTGAAAGTTGTTCCACACCAATCACCTGCTGACAATACAATATCAACTAAGTCTAAATTCCAGCTTTGGGGACTGAACGATAATCTAATCAAATAGTTGATAAGCCAACAAAGCCACAATTGGCAAACATACATAAAAAAAACTACCAACAGCAAATAAGCTCCACTGAATTCTCCCAAAGAAAACCATTTTTGTTTTCAGTTTATACTGAACTAGTTTATATCCTTTCATCAAACACATGGTTAACTAATAAAAGGAACAATCGACTTTTCACCACTATCATGTCAAAAAGTCACCGATTTAAGAGTTTCAATCTAAAATACTGAAAACCGATCTGATATATTCTTATATATAATTACCATTTATCGAAGTCAAAACAGTATCAAAGCTACACACACTTATATAACCCAGAAAAATGAAAGAAAAATCGGACGCAAACGAAAGAAAAATCAGAAATACCTTTAGGTGAACCGTGGCGAGAAGCAACAAAGAAGTAACCAAAAACAACAATGGGGAAGCCATACCCTCCGTTCCCAAAGAAAATGGAAAAAAGAGAGGATATTGGGATTAAGAAAGGGAACCTTTGATAGACCCGATTCATGGAACAGGAAGTGGAAGAGAAAAATGGGGGAAGCATGCAGTGTGATTTTTGTTATCAAGGGGGAAGAAACGGGGAAAGGATGAAAATAATGGGGGGAAAATTTAAAATACGACTTTTACAGATGACACACAATTAAAACTGTACTCCGTGTTTTTGTAAATTTTTTGGATTATGACTATTAAATATGACACACATTATTGTAAGTCATAAATCGTTCAGATTTTAAAAAAAATGATATTTTTTATGACACACATTTTTTTCAAGTCATAAATTAGCGTGTGTCATCGTTCGTGTGTCATTAAAGGTATATTTTGTTGTAGTGGTAACCCCTACACTTGGTCTAGATGTTACGACCGAATTTCAAAGATCACAATAACATAAATCAACAGAAACATAAACTTTCTGAGCTTCTCAACAAACATCGTGACAAGTAACTGAAATCAAAATAAAGTAATATGAAGCTGCAGAAAATCGGTATAAATCCATAAATAAAACTAAGTGTTCATAAAATAATGCATACCAAGAGTAAAGTCTGAAACTCATAAAAACATAAAATAACCAAATATGATCGAAGAGTTTACTAAGAAAATAAAGTTTAAAAATATTCATACGATGTTTAGAAAAATATGTTAGTCGGTCCTCCAAGTATCAATCAAATTCCTAAAGGCTAAAGGGATTTGAATAGACCGAGACTAAAATAGTGAGTTATAGGCTAAGTGTGTCCCCTAAAAGCAACATATATTAAATATTAAAACATAAATAATTTAGGCATGATATATTACACAATGTAATAACCAGAGAACAATAAATTTAGTTATTCATCTTCAAAATATCATAACAGAAGTTTTCACAACTTTACATTTCGCTACAGATAAACATGATAAAGACATTACTCTCCGAAGAGGCACTCGAGACCTTCGTAGATGAATCTAAAACAATAACAAAAATCAGGATGGGTACGTTACCCTCCAAAGAGGCATCTAAGTTAACCCCCCAAAAAGGAACTTAAACAGAAATTAGGAAACAAGATGGGGATGATAACCTCTGAAGAGACACCAAGATGTTCGTAGACAATCTCGATACAAAGATTTACATTCATATAGAGATCACATGTAGTATAACATTAATTAGGAATCAGATACACTTGTGCAATATATAACAGAAAAATAGAACACAATATTGAAAAGTAAACATACAGTATATGTCAAGGAACACACTTATACCAGCTAAACGATACTAGCTAAGCCTTATACTTTCCACGATCGGTAGTATTAGGTCCTGTAGAATGATAACCTAATAATAATATAGTACTATATGAGTACTAAAACAATACATACTTAAATGGAAATAATTTATTAATTCAATTAACAATACTCATGTGTATCTCAAGTCGAATGTATGGAGTCGAGTTGAACCGAACGGAGGTTGTCTGGATCTACTGAAGAGTGGTGCATGGATACATGATCACCTTCATAAAGAATAAGACTATCAATTCTAGAAGAGTAAACTACATGATTGATCACTTTCTCTTTTTTTTTTGTATATTTTTTCTCACTAAATTCAAAAAAAACTAATATTTGGTCAATTTCGTTTTTGTTTAATTCAGACGTTGTCACTTTTATTTAATTTCTTTACTTTTTACACTAACGACAATCAAAATTTTAGTGAACATAAAAATAAACATGACCAAGTTTAATTAACAAAAATGAAAGTGACCAAATCTTATATTTTTTATTCAGTCAAAAAAAGTGTCAAAACTTAGAGAAAAGTGAACAATCATGTAGTTTACCCATTCCATTTACTTAGCATAAAAGTAACATAACACAATGCAAGACGAAAAATGGGGCTTTCAGGTCAGAATTTGGCAAAATAGGCTGCGAAAACGGATTCATGACATCATAAAACATAAAGATAAGAGTCAATGGAAAAAGTCAAAGTTAACTGTCAACTGGTCCAAGTACTGCTCGGTAATAGAGAGCGAAAATTACCAAAGAAAAGGGGATACAAATACAGTTATTTTAAAACAAATAGGGCAACAGTTATTTTCCCCTTCTTCAACGCTTCAAAATGAGATAATACCTGAAGGATCCAAGAGTTAAGCTTGACTTCTGAAAGTTGTTCCACACCAATCCCCTGCTGACAATACAATATCAACTAAGTCTAAATTCCAGCTTTGGGGACTGAACGATAATCTAATCAAATAGTTGATAAGCCACAAAGCCACAATTGGCAAACATACATAAAAAAAACTACCAACAGCAAATAAGCTCCACTGAATTCTCCCAAAGAAACCATTTTTGTTTTCAGTTTATACTGAACTAGTTTATCCTTTCATCAAACACATGGTTAACTAATAAAAGGAACAATCGACTTTCACCACTATCATGTCAAAAAGTCACCGATTTAAGAGTTTCAATCTAAAATACTGAAAACCGATCTGATATATTCTTATATAATTACCATTTATCGAAGTCAAAACAGTATCAAGCTACACACACTTATATAACCCAGAAAAATGAAAGAAAATCGGACGCAAACGAAAGAAAAATTAGAATACCTTTAGGTGAACCGTGGCGAGAAGCAACAAAGAAGTAACCAAAAACAACAATGGGGAAGCCATACCCTCCGTTCCAAAGAAAATGGAAAAAAGAGAGGATTGGGATTAAGAAGGGAACCTTTGATAGACCCGATTCATGGAACAGGAAGTGGAAGAGAAAAATGGGGGAAGCATGCAGTGTGATTTTTGTTATCAAGGGGGAAGAAACGGGGAAAAGGATGAAAATATGGGGGGAAAATTTAAAATACGACTTTTTACAGATGACACACAATTAAAACTGTACTCCGTGTTTTTGTAAATTTTTTGGATTATGACTATTAAATATGACACACATTATTGTAAGTCATAAATCGTTCAGATTTAAAAAAATGATATTTTATGACACACATTTTTTTTCAAGTCATAAATTAGCGTGTGTCATCGTTCGTGTGTGTCATTAAAGGTATATTTGTTGTAGTGGTAACCCCTACACTTGGTCTAGATGTTACGCCGAATTTCAAAGATCACAATAACATAAATCAACAGAAACAAACTTCTGA